AGAGCTACCTAGGTCTAAAGGCTTAGTATATAGCTATTAGCTAATAAGTTATATCTATTAGCTAATAAGATCGTTATAGTAATATAATCCCTATCCTATAAGTCGCGAGCGAGCTATATCTTCTTCTATATTCTTAGATAATACTTCTAAGTCTAATATTTACTAACTAGGCATTTAATAGGCTTACTAAACCCGACTAAGTCTTCCGCTTAAAAGTTACTCTAGGTCTATATAAGTAGTAGCTACTAGTTAAAGAAGAGTAGTAGTAGATTCCTATCTTCTACTAGTTTAAAAATAAAGCGTACGGCGTTATTATATCGTCTAACCTAGCTATAACTACGACCTAGCTATAAGATAAACTTAACGCTTTAGATAGGGCTATAAACTTCTATTTTCTAGTTAGTCTATACTATTTTCGTTAAAGTATAGATAAAGCCTTTAATAGTAGTAGTAAGTATAGTATATAGGTATATATATATCGACCGCTAAATTAGAGTAGGCTATATTAGTAACTTATAGCGGAATCTTATTCTCTAGTATATATCCTCTACTATCTTTTAGAATAGCTACTTATCCCGATATATTATAGTAGATACCTAGGCTACCTTTTACGGTCTTAAGCTATAGATAGTAGTTATACGAGCGGCTAGTAGTTATATAAGCGGCTAGTAGTATATTATGTATAATCGACTCTTATTAGCTAATATCGCTTATAGCCGAGTAGTAAGTATAAGTTATAAAATACCTAGAGGTTAAACTACTTCAAAGATACTAGAAAGGTTTTAAAAGTAAGATCTATATATAATATAGGATAATTACTCGAGCTAGAGGATTAGCTATCTACGACCTCTATCGAGATATAGTTCGTAACTACTAGAATATAAGTAAACCTGTCTATAAAGCGATAGTTAATAAGAGTAGGAGGCTATACTACTAGTATTAGCCTAAATTAGATATCGAGTAGTAACTAAACGACAGCGTCGAGAAGAGGCTATAAGCTAGACTAGAGGACGAATAATACCTAAGTAGCTAGCGTTCCTAGGTACTTAATATACTCCTTATATTTATTACGTTAGATCTAGAGGAAGAAAGTAATTATCGCTTAGAAGCTATTACTACTATAGCTATACTAAGCTAAAAGCGCGAGCCGGTTATACCTAAAGTCTACTACTCTCGTAGCGTAAATATAATATCGACGCTATTAGATAATAATAAGAAGGAGGAGGTATCCCCGTCCTTTCTACTAGTATATTACTCTATCTAATATATATTCTACCTAGAGGATACGACGCTCTTATCTAAGCGCTACGTAAAAGACTTCTATAGTTAAGGTACTTTAAAGAGATATTTCTAAAATCGATATCTTCGGTATTATCCTAATAGTAAGCTAGTCGATTACCTTTATCCTCGATATAATATAATACTATATAATAAGATATACCTATAGAATTATATAGAGATAGTATATAAGACTATAACCTAAATATAGCTAGTCTAGTATTATCTATATATATAAGCTATATAATCTCGCTAAAACTTATTAGCCTATATATAATTCTATATCTAAAGGCTTTATTATACTTATAGGTTTACTAGTAGCTAAACACTTTTAAGTAAAGCGATAGTAGTAAATACTAGGATAGAAAGTATCTTAGGATATATAACGATCGATATTTAATAAAAGCGTATAATTTATCGTTACGATAAAGCTAGGCAAATTCGTCTTTATATAATTTATATATAAAGTATCGATTAATACCTAATAAACGAGATCTTATTATTTCTTATAATATCTTTTATACTTTAAGAAGGTAATTAGATTCAATTCTTACTTACTTAATAATATAACCCTACTCTACTATATACCTCTCTACTATTTTCCGCCTTATAGAATATATCGTAAGTTATAGTAGTAAGTACTATATACTAATAAAATTTAAGATTATAGTAAAGTACGAAGAATATAGAGAAGATACTTTACGTTTAATAAGGATAGATAAGAGCTCCGAATTGTATTTATAACTATAATTCTAAGATATAGTATCTACTTTATATAATTGCCTAGCGCCGAATTATCGAGCTAATTTACTCTAGTACGATAACGCTAATTAAGTTATAAATCTTCGTTACTAGATAGGTTAAGTATAATAGAGTAGTAGTACGACCGAAGCTACGATAACTTACGTAAAACTAAAAGCGGTACTCTAGTTACCTCGATAGCTAGTCTATAAGACTACGGCTAGCTAGATAATCGTAAGACTAAAGAAGATCTTAACGCCTCTAATACGTAGATAGTAGAGTATCTAGTTCGTATCCTATCCTATCTATATATATATACTATATACTTTCGAGGTTTTCTTTAGTTACGACGCCTTAGTCGGTAAAGTAGTCCTTAGCTATTTTATCGTTAGAGTTATATAGTAAAATTTAAATTTAATAGGCTAGACTCTTACTTCGTTATATCTATAAACGAAAGTCTTCTATAAAAGCCTATCTTCTAATATAATCTCTCCTATAGGCTCCTTTATATTTTATAGATATTTCGTTAACTAGTCTCTATTATAGTAGCTTAAGTCTCTTTTTACTACCTCTTTTAGTATATCTTTAAAGTATAGAATCCCTATATTTTAGTCTTCTAGATAATCTATAGTATAAGAGTCTAGATAGACCCTTCCGAGTTTATAGTCTATACTTATTAGCCTAGAATTTAGTACTTTCTAGGCTTTGTTAGATATATTCTTATAGTCTAGTATACTAACTTTAATAGGAGCGCGTATCGCCTTAGTAAGGCTAGTAAAACGAAGCTTTAGATATAAGATATTAGCTACGTGTTCTTTAATAGCTTAGAGATAGGCTTATATTAACTTCTTATATATATATAATTTAATAACTCTAAAGCTATTTTTTCTAGTGCCCTTACTATTAGTATAGAGTATTTTATATCGCTTGTAGAGCTTTATCTAGCGAGCCGTTCTACTTAAAGACCTTCTTAGGCGCCGTTCTATATATTCGTCTTTCGTATTTCTTCCTATTCTTCTTAGTTATACTCTATAAGCTAGGTACTTTTCCGATCTAAATTTTAGTTCTTCCTAGCTAAGTAAATCTTATAATCGAATAATAATCTTAGCTACGTCTATCGAATAAGAGAAAGTAGAAATTATAGTTATCGTCGTCGTTAATATCCTCCTAGCTAGTATTTGTCTTATATTACTACTGCTTAAGATAACTAGGATTATTACTCTCTATATTAGCGTCGAGCCGTAGGCTTTTAATACTCGGTCTTTATCGCTACTTATAGCTAGGACGTAATAAGGCTAAAATCGTTAAGTGTTTATTACTCTACTTTTATCGTTATCTAAGCTTATTAACTACTCGTCTAGTATCTCTATCTAAGATATAGGTAGAATCTAGTTACTATAGTAACGAAGATAATACGTAAATAGAGCTCGACTATAGATCGCTAATTTTAGGCTACTTAGTTAAACGCCGGACGCCTTATATCTTATAGATTAAATAAGTAGTAAAGAGCTCTCGTAAAAGATTTAAAAATAGCTTAAATATAGAAGTAAGTTAGATAGAATTCTAAGAAGAATAAGTATCGTATAGCGGCCTTTAAAGTATTCTAGACTAGGAGGTATATATCTTATTATACGCCTCGCTAACTAGTAAACCTAAAGCCTATAGCTCGTTAATAATCGAATATATTATCTATACTACCTTAATATATCGCGCCTAGACAGCTATACTACCTAAATACTATATCCTAGTAATCTATCGTAGTAGCTTATTAATCCCTAGAGTAATCGTTATACGCTTTAGAATACGATAATAATATCGCTTCTAGTCGTACTAAGATACTATAGATTAAACTTATTTATCTTACGATAAGTCGACTTTCTTAGTTCGCTTACTACGATATATTAATTAGATAGTATATTAGAATACTTCTTAGAGAGCGCTAAAGTAGCTATACTACTTTAATTTCTAAATCCTTCTAGTCTTTTAGGATAGGTAGAGTAATAGGACGCCCTACTTTTGAAGAGTCTTAGCGTTATACTTAGTACGAACTACTTCGCCTCTATACCCCTATCTCTTTAATAGACTTATTTCTATTAACTACTACGCCTAGTAATAATAGTTTTTATACTAGCGACTTTTATCGATAGCCGCTTAGCTCTAAGTTATCGTCTAGTATAGCTTATATTACACTCGCTATATAATTACCTTCTAATACGTATATACTTTCGACTACTTTTAAAGCGATATAAACTAGTATATAAAGTAGGAAATAGGTCGTCGACGTCCTACTAATATAAAGACTTCTCTTATAAAGAGATCTCGTTACTATTAATAATAGCGTATAAGTACGTATTCCTTAAAAGTAAAAAGCGGGAATTAGTTATAGAGCTATAATACTATCGATAGTATAGCTTTTGTCTTATTACCGACTTATATCTTTTATAGCGGAGAGAACCGAGCCTCTACGAGTATATCTAGGCTACGGAGTATCTTTAATATATATAGAGACCTACCTATTAAAGCTATATATATTAATAATTAATATCTATAAGTATTTTCTCTCTATAGATCCCTAGACCTACTTACGATATAGTAAATATATGTCCTTAAATTACTCGATAGTCCGAACTCTACGCCTCTTACTAGACGCTTATTTAACGCTAATATACTATCTAATAGCGGCGTAGTAGAGAGTAGAACTAAGGACCGGCGATTATATATTATAGTCTTTTACTACTAGGGCGACGATAAGACCTCAAAATACTACTTATAATATAATAGAACTAACTATCTAATTCCTTTAGAAGTATATCGTATACTATATTATATTCGAGATTACTTATCTCCTATCTATTTTTAGATTAATACTATCTATATTAATTAGTACGATAACTTAGAAAAATTATTTTAAGTAGCGAAAATATATTATATATACTAAAATATAAAAAGGGTTATAGTATATCTCGGCGAGTATATAAGATCTAAGTAGGCTCCTCCTAGTCGTATTAGAAGCCTAATAGAGTTTATTATTAACCTCCTAGGCGATTATAATATCTCCTAAAGGTTTCTAGGGTTAACTTCGCTAATAATAAGTAACTAGATTAGAAGAAGCCGAAACTTTAGTTATATATTCTACGATAAGTATATAGACTTACTTAAATAAAATATACGGGAAATTATAGGTCTAAAATAGTTCGACTATATCTAGATTAAGTAGGAGATTTAGGCCGCTACCTCCGTTAAAATATAATTAGGATATTTAATTCTATAATAGTAAACGCTTTAATCTCTATAGGAATATTTTAATATTATCTTTCTATAGCTTAGTACGAGTTAATAGAAGACTCTAAAGCTATTACTAGAGAAATTATCGATTAAGATCGAGCGTCTAACTATTAGAACGCCTATAGTATATACTACTACTAATATAGATAATAAACCTAATTCTAGGCTAGTAGACGACGAGGCTAACTAATATAATATCGTTAATATAATCTAATAAGTAGTAGGAGTAGACTACTTATATATATATAATCGAATATTTAGCTTATTAGATATAACCTCTATAAACGTAGAGAGGATTAACGATAACTACTAGAATTGTTTCCTAGTATCGTATACTAAATACCCGTCTAAAATATTCTCTTAGCTTACTAAATATATTATCTACTAGGACTATTCTTTAAATATCCTATTCCTTAATTTAGCTTTTCCGAGACTTTACTATACTAGTATAATTAAAGGACAAGTCCTACCGTTCTAGGTACCTAATTAGTATTACGATATAGGATCCGTTTATATAGCTACTTACTCTTTAGAATTATAGTTAAAGTAGACCTAGACTTTACTAATATAGGATACTATTAGAATACTCTATATAAAAGGATTTTTCCTTAGAAGTATAGCTTCTCGCTTAAAACGACCGAATATAGTCGCTAAGGTATACTAGATATATTACTATCTCTAATATAGTACTACTAAGTACGTAGTTATATCTATAGGCGCGCGTCGTTTTAATAGAGTCGTTCTTTTTAAAGGAGTATTAATAGTAGTTCTTCTAAGGCTAAGAATAGACTATTCGATATACTTTTATATAGTACCTATATTTCCTCTAAAGAGAAGTAGACCTACTATCGATTATCTTAGACTAGATTTTAATATTATAATTAAATTTATATCGCTATTCTCTATCTAGTTAGAATCTCTAGTAGAGTATAAGAGTATTAAATTAGCCTAGTTTAGTTAAGTTCTTAATAGTAAGTTAAGCTAGCCCTACTTAAGTAGCTCTACTATAAGCTACTAGTATAACTTATTTATAGTAGTTCCTTTATAATATAGATTAGAATAGGAGTCTTCTAACTATTTTTAACTTCCTTAATAGGTTACTACAAAGTCGATAGGTTTAAACTTGTACTAGTGGAAGATAATAGATGTCTATAATTATTCTTAGTAGCGCTTTAATTTCCTCTATAATAATAATATAAATATATATTACGCTCTTATACTTTAATAGTCTACTTATATTCTAGGACTAGATACTTAACTTTTACCTAGTCGAAGTGCGTTACTTCTATAGTTAGCGGCAATATAACTTCAATATATCCTTAGAGGTAAGGGAACCTCTAGGTTTCGACGCGTGGGCAGACGCGACGTGATCTTGGGTTTCGCTTTAGCATTTCCACTAGTCCGAGAACGACTATCGGTGGAGTGGGACCCGCGGATTTCCCTGGGCCCCGTTGGATACTCATATATTAGGCTTCATATTGGTTAGGATAATTAACCGAGAACAGCAATCTCTCTGGTCCAAGATACTTCACCTCAAAGAAAGAGACTTATCGTCGAGGCGTATCCTGAAATCTTCGACTGAAGGAGTTCTCGAATGGAAACAAGCTCTTTCGCCCCAAGAATCGACAACAAGTGCACAAATCGTAGAGTACGACTACAGACAGTGCAAAGCTAACAGAAATTGTCGCGGCATCTGGTTTCAAAAGACTTTGAGAAATCGCCCAAAACAGGCTGTGCCGCCGAGGGCTGCACTAACGCCGCAGAAGACAATCAAGACTGCATATTGAGTCCCATAAGCAAACCCTGCGTGCGTTTCCCAACCCAGATCCAGTAATTTGGCGCTGAGAGGTTCGCTCGCTACCTCGCCGATGCCTTTGCCGGCCGCCATAAGTCCAATGACGATTCCAGTGTCGACGTTGCCATTTGCTTCATTTCGACGCATGACAGCCGCACAGCCAGGCCAGGTAGCGTTGAAACCTCCAATCACGATTCCCTAGAGGATGGCGAACATATAGAGCACAGGCTGCGATGTTGCCAAACCCTAGAAGACAAAGGCCGCGACCATGCCACCGACCGAAGTGATGGAGAGCGCTACCGAGATGTGGAAGCGGTCGGCGATCGATCCCAGCAAGATCCCACCAACAGCGTAGCCGCCATTGTAAAAAGCGAGGCTCAGAGGCCCAGCAAACGCTGGAAATCGATGACTTTTGCAAAAGAGGGCATCTAGAGAGCTGGGAGGAAGCAGCTAAGTGCATTGCATATGTTGCCGATTTGGAATAGCCAGAAAGGGGAGCGAGCTACGAAGGACAAATCTTGCGGACGGAAAGCGTTGGAAGCAGTTGGAGGGAGCCGCGGTTTGATGAAGAACAGGCATGGGATTGTCATGATAATCTGTGAGGAGTAATCAGCATATGATGATATGACGGTGGCGACCACGCTGTAGCCCTTCTCGAGCAGAATATCGAGAATGTGAGCGGCAATGAAGCCAGAGCCTCCGGTAAGCAGAAGACGAGTCATGTCGGGCGGCTTGTTGTAAATCGACGGTTCCGTACGTGGCCCACGGTGGTTGCGGGAAGGCTGTTCTCACAGGTTGACGACGAAAGGAAAAGCGTACAATGCGGGACTGTTTGCAATGACTAATGCGGATTTCAGTGTGTACAGTATCTAAGTTCTGTATGCGTTGATCTGTAGATTTTGTTGGGCCCAAGGTGAGCGTGATTACTTCAGGTTTCGCAGCGTGCTGAGTATTGTCCTGCCGCTGCACAAAATGCTCTTACGCGTCGCCCGGCACCACCCGCGTGTATCGTGGGCAGATGTTGAGCCTTTACTGACACTTTGACAGCCTAAGCGAGTAAACCCTGACGGGCAGCGGATTTCAATTGCGCATGATCACTAGCGACTATAGAAGGAGAGGATTGACGTCGCAAACAGGGACCCCTGGCTGCAGGCATGCTCACTGCTGAACTTCCGGCTCGACGCGGGCCGGTGATGTCTGCAAATTTCTCGCTTTCGCCCAATCATGCGACGCCCGAGGTCGATGCTCGGACCGGACGCGCAGCTGCGGAGGTTCAGATGATTACCGATACAGCGTAGCTGAAAATGGGCACCCATGCTGGCGAGCACCGAACTCAACGCTTCTCGATCAGAAATCATATGGAGAAGTGTCTCAAGCCTTGTTCCGGATGGATGGCTGTCACGTGCACTCGCTTGTTCACTAATCGGCTATTTGTGCAGTATTCTTAAAGGTACTCCATTCCCACCTTTCGATGGCATAGTCCTTTCACGTTTTCACCTCCGATTCATCCTGTTCAATATGAATACTTTTGAAACCCACGTAATCACGTATGCCGAGAGTAAAAAGCAGTTGTCTTACATCTCCGCTGGACCGAGCAATGGACCGCTTTTGATCTTCCTTCATGGATGGCCTGCAATCGGAAAAACATGGGCCCCGCAATTGAACGCATTTGCATCTCTCGGCTTCCGCGTGCTGGCGCCTGATATGCCAGGTTATGGTGGCAGTACTGCTAATCGTAACACCGCCGATTATGCACAGGAAGTCATCGTCCAAGGACTCTTGGCTCTCCTGGCTTCTACAGGAAAACGTGCGGCAATATGGGCCGCGCACGACTGGGGGTGCGGCACATGCTGGACACTAGCTGCGACACATCCACAAGCCTGCCTAGGTGTTATCAACATGTGTTTGCCATATCGAACTTTGGAGCTTGGCCTGGAAGAATTGATTAAAACTGTCGATCGTGACCTCTATCCTGTCACGGAGTATCCCAATGGGCCGTGGGACTACCAAGCCTATTACGAGCAATCGTTTGAGAAGGCTGTTGCATGGCATAACTCCGATATCCCCGGATTTCTGCGAACGACGTACCGAAAAGGCAGCAGCGCAACATTTGGCAAGCCTTCGTTTACTAGTACGATCATTCAAGATGGAGGATGGTTAGGTGGCGCCCTAAAGCCTCTGCCGGCCGACGCGCTCCCTGCCGAGGGCCGCCTACTGTGGCCAGAATTGGAGCAAGACGTCGTAGCCGCTATGGAGAAGACCACTTTCTTCTCCGCCGATGCTTGGTACATGAATCACGCTGCCAATCGAGCATACAACCTGGGAAAAGGAGTCAATGGTGGCGTGCTCACTATGCCAGTACTGTTCATCGGCGCAAAGTGGGATGCCATATGCGAGGTGGAATCCTCGGCTCTAGCGGAGCCAATGCGGAAATTTTGTACTAATCTTACTGAGGTGATGATAGATGCCGGCCATTGGGTAGCGTTGGACAAACCAGAGCAAGTGAATGCTGCTATCACGAGATGGTTAGTGGAGGAGCTCAAATCGGAATGGCCTGGATTTTGGAAGAATAGGTTCGTTAGCAATACGTCGAATTAGCAATTGCCGCGTGGTACGTCGAGCGATGACAAGTACATAACGCTATATGATCAGGTCAACCAATCTACGGGCAAGGCTGGTCAATGAATTGTGGAATAACCGACTCAAGGCCACGTGGTAGTGAGAGCCGTGTTTGTAGCAACGTTCGATCACTACCCTATCAGTCAAATGCCGCCATGCTAGGATTTTCGCTGTCAGACTTTGTCACAAAAACATGTTGCCACCAAAAGCACCTCAGTACTATGCCGCAATCGAATCGACGTCCCATTCGAATCGACGTCCTAGCGCCGGGGACCAGCGCCGTGGCCCGTCGTCCGTCCAGCCCGACCGAAGCCTTAGCCCGACGAGTCGCGCCGCGACGACGCGATCCTCTCGCGTAGTGAGCTGCGACCGCAACGCAGACATCGACCACAACGACCGACGTCCTACCCTTCGATTATGGCGAGTGAGCTCTTTGATCACCTCCCTAAGCTAGGCGTCGCGGTCTGCCGCAAGTATCACTATACGGTCTAGCCGTCGCAAGCGGCCCGTTACCTTCGTAGCCTCTATCCTCGTCTAGATACGAGAGACCGTAAAGTAATTGTTAAGGACCTATAAGTATAGCTAGGCCTATAGTTATCGGAAGACGGCTACTCCCTACTATCTTCTATTAAACGACTACTCCTAGGTTAAAACTCTCCTATACTAGTAAGTAGTACTAGCTTTAGCTAGAGAAGTATACTTATATTATAGGGAATATAACTAGTCTTAAACAATACTAGTATAAAGCTTATAAGTAGAGTACTAGCGAGACGAGAGGCGGCGGCTAGAGTATACTTTAGTAGGAGCAGATCTAGTAGTAGTAGAAAGTAGGCTATTAAGTAGTATACTACTAGCGCTTTTTCTACTATAGCTGCTACTATAGCTACTTCGAAGTACGAAACGCGCCTATATAGGTTATACCTATAGACTAATTACCTATCCTCTTATAGTTAAGCTCTTTTGCTATAGTAGTTTTAAAAGATTTTAGTAAATATAAAGCTATAGAGTAGTAAATAGAGGAATAGAGCTTGCCTGCCTCGAGGAAGAGGGCCGATACTTCCTGTGCCTGGTTGGGGAGCGCTTCGAGGGTGCAGTTCTTGTGGAAAGAAATCGCTGAAGAGGAGATGGGTTGCGCTTCCGGGAGGGAGAGATGAGCAGCACTGCTGTATGACGCTCTGCCGAGGATGAGAACAGCACTGGTGTGGAGAAGAGCGTGGAACTCCATTGGTGTATGAGGAGCCAGGCCTTTGAGAGGATGGGGAGGCAGTCCTTTGGGAAGACGATGAAGCGGTCGTTTGGGAAGAAGACGAGGACACAAGGAGAGACGAGCATGGCAAAGTTGTGGAAAGATAAGAGCAGCAGCCTCTCTGGGTCAATGATCACACATGGCGAGACGCGGAGATCAGGCAGCGTTCTTCTTGACTGCCGAGATGCTCTACAAGACCAGCCAACTTCCATCATTCGCGGCCATATATCACTCTTCGAAGAGGACGACCCTCGAGCGACCTCCACTGTCATCCTCCGCATCGAATTCCGGCGGCTTTTGTACCAGCTCCGTCACCAGCTCCTCCGCATCGATCCCTAACAGCTACTCGACCAGCTCTGTTACCATCTCCTCCGCCCCGTCTAGCAGCCGATCAATCACCCTCTCCTCCATCACCCACCTTCTGCACCGCTGGAATTCTGTGCGTCGCAAGTTCGCCCTAGGCTAAAACCCTAAAAACCCTAAAAAGTGCATCATATTGCCCGGCCGAGGCCTCCGGCATGTCCTCTGCTTCGGTCGAAAGCTCTCGGTAGGTCAGTCGGCTTCTGCGACGTCTGCTTCTGTTGCCACCGGTCCGTCATGAGCGATTATCTCAAGCAGGGTGTTACGCAGGAGCTGGTGGTTACTAGGTCTGATATGCTCTCCGCATCTTCGGGTTTCAACACTGCGTGCTCGAGGTAGGTTGCATCACGAACCGAATTGGTCCTGTGCCAAATATGTACGTCAAACGCGCTCGCAAAAGTCTTCGCTGTGTAGTAGGCCGTCAGGAGACCCAGGTAAGTTAGCCATGCTTGAGGTGAGTTGCGGGAATGATGTTCGAGGGTGTGGATTGAGCAGTTAAGTCTGCATTGGGTCCGCGATGGCGAGGTTCGAAGCCGACGTTGACCTTCAACAGGTCGTTTTCAACAGCCTCGTCTTGACGCTTCTCTGCGTTCGACCCGCCTTAGACCTGCCTCGATTCTCCTCCAACACCTCCCACGGCCATTCGCTCATCCATGGCCTGCTTCAGCTGTTCCCTGGGCTTTCCAAGGGTGAGATGGTCTTAGACTCTGCGCATGATGTTCTAGCACTGTCCCTTCACTTTCCTCGAACTGTTTGGCAATTTTTATCTGCCCATGCACCGCAGAACGGTCGAGTTCACCTTTTGCAAGGTGAGGACCATCGGAGGCTTTGCAAGACGGGTCAAGGACGGCAGCGAAACACTACTCGTCATGATCAGACTCAAGGACTGGACCAGCGGCTTGCAGATTTGGAGATGCTGTGTCAAGACCTGCATTGTCAGGTGCTGCGCAGGATTCTGCAATCTGCCAAAATCGGGTTGATATACGCTTATGCGTCGGACATCTCGAATGCCAATCGTCATGATGCAGATTGGATGATCTAGCGGTACAGAGAGTCGGTGCCTTCCGACGAAGTGGCCTGCTTTCCGTTTTGCACTGCGTCAAAGACGGAGGCGGAGTGGAAAAGCCTCTGGAAACATCGCCTCAAGCTGGTTCTCGATCGATCCAGATCGCAGAGTCTTGTTCGAGAGGTCATGCTCCACGACGATGCCGAATCTCGTCGAGGGAGCAGTCTCGCAGGTTCAAGATGCACATGGATCCCTGAGGAGAGATGTCGGAAGCGAATCGTCGATGAGAGCAGCAAGAATGCTGTGAAGCTCTTCGAGATTGCCGGCAGCTCAAGAGGTAGGAGACCAGGATGCCGTGCAGAGTGTAAGAGCAGGTCGTCAATTCAGTGAGTCTGGTGGAATTGTTAGGTCTCGAGCTGACGGGTGCCTTGGAATGAATCGATCATGAAACTAGCCAAATGGCAGCTTCGACAGACATGCTAAAGCGAACGAGCAACTTTCGACGATCATGCATTATCCTCATGCTCTCGAGATTCACACAGAATTCGAAACGACCGCTCGAAAGGTCGACCTTGCCCAGCCAGACCAACACGAATTGGAAAGTCCATCAGAAATCTCCGACATCATCAACGCCATTAGTACCGGCCTCGACAGAGCCATACCTTTTCGTTCAACGAACCGTTCCGCGGTATGTTCGTGCTTGGGGTAGACGAGTTGCAGCAGTCAGTGGGTGTGAAGCCCGTGCGGCAGTGATCCAGAACATGACTGAACGATCTCCATCGGAATTCGGGGGCTGACGATTCGAACCACAAGCAAAAAGGCAAGGCTCTTGTCGGGGAGTCGGGAAGGGCATGAATCAAAGGGAGGCAAATACGGCAAGCATGATCGCGAGTCTCGAAAAGCTCCAGGAACAGGGTAGGAGAAGTCGATAGGTGTGGAGTAGGCGAAGCGGTTGGGGAGGACTCTGACAATGGTTGTGTTCCGGCTACGAAACGTCTGGAGCACATGGATGCTGAACTCAGTACAGCAGACTCCAAGTAGATGGTTCTCAACCTTGGCTTTCGGCGGAGATGAGGTATGGAAGGTAACAGAGGCCAATTTGATCTGACAGACCAGGACTTGAGTCTCGAAGCGCACCGAAGACTCTGGCGGAGAAAAGGCTGACGCTGGCATCAATCGGTCGAGATGCTCATTGCGGAGGAAGAGCATAGACATGCTTCCGAAATGGACGTCGCCGACGAAGAGTTGGAAGCTGAGGTCGAGTCTTTCATTAGCAGCTTCCATATCAGAGACAGGACGACCTCGCTCCGGAGAGCTGTTGCTCGAAGCAGTTGGAAGAGTTCAACGCCGTCGATGGATTGAATTGCCCAGTCTTATCCTAGCATTGCGTTGTCCGGTGTTCAGGATATCATCAGTCACAACGCCATTCGATATGAGGTCTTTGTCGACCAGCGGCATGTTCCAAGACTGCTCGAAGCTCTTCCTGTACCACATCGTATATACGATATGAGAACCCTGGCGTACTCCCGGTCGTTGACAAGATCCAACCAAGGGTTGAAAGCGGGTATCTCGAGCGGACAAGCCAGACCATGCCCGAGAATCGCATCCATTCGTTGCCCATCGACCAGTCCTTGCTCTGCGGTCGATTCTAGCGACGCCATGAGCACAATGACCTTCACTCGGGGGACCTGGACTCTGCTGAAAGATCATACCTTTGGTAGAATGCCTTCTTCTCTTGCTGCACCCCTCTCCAGGCCGTAGAGGCTGCTGCCGACCGATTTGTCTCCGCCTTCTACCCTTGGATGTGTTTCGATCGTCAAGTTGTGTAATGGCTGTAGTACAGGTGGATGTTGAGCTCACCATGGTAAAACGTCTCCAGCAATGCCTGGCAAATGGGGCTGATGGAGACTAGCAGAGCGATCTTGGCGTTGTAGTGGATGGGCAGCAAGTCAACAGCGCAAAGCATGTCCGTCGAGAATGGTAGAGCTCCGTTCAGCTAGGCCCATGATTGTAGGGACACCGTCGGTTGGGCAGCCATGTTTGTCGGGAGATTAGTCAGCTCGTTGATTATTCCACAGTCATGTTGCTCGAATGCGAACAGTCCAGCTCGAACATCTCGGACTTTCCCCTCGCTGAGCGCTTGCTGAGACCGGCTTCCGAAGAGCAAGCCTTAATCAAGATCGTTTTCGAAGTTCTGGAGACATACAATGTGATTGATCCGAGGGGCAGCTGGTGCAAGAAGTGCTGAGCTTTGTAAGCATCTTCTCCGGCGGAACGCAGTCGGGTTTGGGCTGGACGGGCGGGAAGAGCAGTCGAGTTTATGTCGCAGTGTTCGTCTCTTGACAAGATCTTTCGGCAAGCTGGTGTTCACGATGGTTCAGAGTATACAGGGTTTAGTGAGGAGGTGCCAAATTCCATGTCTCTTGCGAAGTAATCACGCTGAGGTTCTCAGAGACTCCTCGTCCCGATTGTCGTTGTCGTGGACTGGAACTTCTTTGCAGCAGTAGTGTACAAGAAACTGGAAGCGGGTGAATATATATACAGCTTTGGTGCGAACATAGGTGACGAATCACTCGAGACGGTAGTTTGGAAGTACGGACTGGAAGGGGGTGTTCTGTAAAGTCGATCATCTTTTGGAAAACTGCAGGAGATCGTACATTGAGCAGTTGGTTGTATGAAGGCCTAGTTCATTGACCTTGCCTCAGCTATTATCTTTGGAGTGATTGCTAACTTGAGAGGTCCTTCACCGATAGTATCGAGGATATGCTACAAGTTGTCTAGACTAAGTAAGAATCTATAATAGCCGAACAGTTAGACCCTTAACCTTAACAAGCTACGTAATAGTAGAGCCCGAGTTAGTTAGGGATAATATTATTACGTATCTTATATTGCACATAAGATTTCTTATTAGACGATAGTTAGATATCTTTCGATTATCGTACTTAGGCTTTTTAGAAGAGAATACTTACTTAAATAAAAGTTATCTACTTTATTCTATATAATATACTTTAATAGTAAGCGTAGAGATAAGTAGTCCTATATAGTATAACAAAATAGCCTATTTAATAACAAGATTATAGGTAAATAGTTAAAATTCTACCTTAAAGTCTATAGGCTAGCTACGGTAATTTATCGCTAGCTTATAAATAGGTAAATATAAATAATTAAAGCTAATATATATATAAATATTCCTATCGAGATTAATTTCTAATTTTTTAAAAATAGTTATAGTAGACTAGGGAATATAAAATATCTACTATCGATAGGATATTTTCTTTAATATATAAATATATAATATAGGACTATAGTAATAAAACTAAAATTTGTAGTATAATCTATTAAACTAAATTAGGTTTTTAGGTAAATATACTAGCTTATTTTATACTACTCTAGAACTTTATAATAGTACTATTAGATAGAGGTTACTTTATATAATTTAGAAGGAAAAGCCGAAGTTAATTATTATCCTAACGTATATAAATAGTAATATAAGAAGAGCCTCCTATACTTTATATTATATAATATAACTACGAGAGTAGATAGACTAGTTTCCTAAGCGCTTCCTAGTTATTAGCTCTCGTCTTCTATACTTTAAACTTATCGCTAATTTTCGTAACTTCGACTCTATTAAAAGTCTCTCTAATATACTAATTTTTAATTAGAAATAGAGTTCTACTAAACTATATTTATAGTATAATCTTTTCTATCGTAAACGCTTACTTACTAGTTTTAATTTCTATAAAGTATATCTATTAGCTACTACTACTTTCGTAAATAGTAATAATATATATATTAGAGATACTATTATTTTAGTCGCTTATAGCTAATATACCTAAGCTACTAAAGGTTTACGCTAGGTTTGTACTAGGCTCTTTAAGTACTACTTTATTTTTATATCTATTACTTCTTCTATAGTTATTCGACTTATTATAATATATATTAGTTTTAAAGTATATAGCTACTTTTAAATTTCCGAGGTTATAGCGAGTAAAGCGATAGTATCTAGTACTTTTATCTAGCTCTAGTCCGAGCTAAATAAAATATTTCTTAAAGTTATAACCGTAGCTATACTAATTAGAAGCGCGACCTTTCTCGACGTTCTTTTTTTCGTATCTTTTAATAACTAGAGTATTTTTAATAAGATATATATTAAGACGAAAGCTATTTTACTTGCGCTTATAATAGAACTAGAGTAGCTTTCGAAGACTATTACAATTAACTAAAACGTTAATTTCGTCTATTTAAAAATTAAGATTTATAATTATTATAGCTTTAAAAGTAGCTTCGAACTAGAATCTAGAATATCTAGCGCTATTCTAGTCGATATATTATCTTCTAGAGTCTTATAAAATACTAATAGGTAAATAGCAATAAACCTAGTTTACAGTATATTCTACGATAAAATTAGTATATATATCTAATCTCGTAAATATAGATATACTAGGTATATAAATTATTAGCGTTTTTCGATCGACTTAATTATAACTATAAAGGCGGGCGCGGCGAACCCGTATCCGGAAACGGGCGCACCCCGATCGGGCGGGCGCGCGCCCCCACGCTCCTTATAAGACCTCACCTCCTCCCTCCTCTCGTCCATTTTGCTCCTATTTCCTTTCCCTCCACTCCGCGCGCCCCCGCCCGCCCCTGTCGCGTCGTCGTCGCGCCGCCGCAGCGGCCTCGCATAATCGGTTCGCGCGCCCCGAGCGTCTCGTCCCACCGGTGCCTCCCCGTCGTCGCCGCCGCCGTTCGCTCGAACTTACCACGATCGCGCCGCACGATCGAACGACTCCTCGACGCTCGACACGGTGCCTAAGAGGGGCGTGGAGCACCGCGCACGCATCCTTTCTAGGAGTCTTCAGCGTGTGCTCTTAGCGATGTCGCCTACGTTAGTCTACCGGGACCTTGCCTACGCTGCTCGGTGCCCCATTTCCGTCCAGCTCGATGAGCCCCACACGCGAATGCACCTCCCCTCGTCGCGCACACCCCTCGTGCCGTTTCTTACTGAAACCCTTAGTTCTGTGCGGCACGGGCGTCGGCTGTGTTTGTAAGGGGGACCCTCGGCCCAGGATCAAAGCGCCCTGTCTATGCAGGAGTTAGGAGCCACTCGCGTAGCATATTAGTGCACATGCACATAAGATAGAGACAGACGCTGGGCTGAGGCTTACTACGCAGGGGGCGCGAATAGCGCTCGATGGGCACATCGAGCTCTCGCCAGGTCACCGCGCCATTGCTGCGCACCCCGGTCTTCCAATTGCTGCTCGCTTACAAGATTTTAATAGCGAGGGTACTTAGGCGCCACTGAAGCTAGTGATAACATAATTATCTCCGCGGAGATAATGTTCAAGGATGCGTTGTCGGCCGCGCTCCAGCATGCCCAGCTGACCTGCACGAGGCCCTGCCCTTGCATTACGCGGATGCGACTCGACTGCAGCGACAGCAGATGTCTAGTCACATGCTTGATCAGCGCGGCTTTTACGCTCTTGAGGCATGTCACGCCACTGTTCGGGATACTAGCATTGCTATATGCGGACAGGGATGGGCGCTATTCGCTCCTGCGACAGTCCTAACGTATCGCAGGGCGGCCTCTCACCGTGCTACGCGGATACGTCTATCTGATTATCTCGCTTCTACTACCGAGGTTATAGGCCTCCGACCCGTCCGAGGCGTCGAAGGGTCACATTACCGTACGGAGCCGAGCTCGACGCGATACAACATCGCAAGCCACGAAACTGCTGGCGTGTCTCTAAATTGAGCTAAAAGACCGTCGGGAATGCGCGCTGACGGCGCACAGACTGGCAGCTGGCTTTCACAGTAGATAACAAGTGGCTCACGCGCCGTGCGCTGCTGAACTGCGCACCCCTGCCTGACGCAGCTGCGCGGCGTACGGGCTATCTGGCCCCTAATCGGGATACAAGTCTCCGCCGCTGTACGCGTAACACTTCATCATCGACGCGCCGGTGAAGGACACACGCTGTGTTTCAGCCGCACGGAGCTAAGATTGCTAGCAGTGGTATCCTCGAACCCTACCACCTGATAGGTCTCGCTGCATTCCACCTTCCGTCTCCTCGCTCTCACCTTCCCTCACGATCTGACTCGCCTTATACGCACGATTCGCCGACTCTCTAGAGCATTAGGTCCGTCGAGCGCCTAAACTTGTTCTATCATTTTGCACCCTTAATCCGGTCGCTTGGTTTTGATGCGCTTTCCGGCATGTCTATTGAAAATATAGCGGCTTCGTTCCTTACTAGAGGGCCTATATAACTCGACAGTATAATTGTTTATAAAGGACCGCCTGCTTTGAGAAAGAACCCTCGACCGGCAGCAATGACGCTTGTGGAGGAGTCTCCTTCGAGGCCTATGGAAGGGCTTGAAGTCGGACGGCCTACGTCCACCGGCAAGAGTGATTCGAGAGCGGACTTAGATGAGGGTACGTGTCTTCCGGCCTCGAGGGATGCTCGTGAAACGAGACTAACGAGTGTGCTCTGTAGGCATTGCCGCGGATGTAGACTTCTCGTCGATAGACGAACATGTGCGTCATGACTGCTACGACGATGTCATGGACACCGTCCGGACCCCGCGCAACGGAGATCAGCAAATGTCGCTGGACTGGCTCGAGCCGCTCGAATTGTTCAATCTCGGCGAGGTCGTAAGTAACGATGGGTTTTCGTCTGAGCTCCAAGCGTAGGATATTAGCGCTACTTCGATGCTGGACCTGGGTCCGACGACAGACCTGTTAGTAGTTGACATCGACGCTTTTTCCGAATTGTCGCCGTGTGGGCAATATGATTCTGTAGAGGTTGCTACAGTTCAACCGAGCGCTGTGCAATCGGGCCCGGAATCACGAGCATCGACAGAAGAGTCCGTAGTCGACGCTGGGCTTGGAACGGCGACAACTGACTCGCTATCGGTGTTCGACTGTCGAGGGCTAGCGATAATCGACCCTGTATCGGATGACTAAATGAACTTCTCGGCCGAGAGCAAGCCTGTAGCAAGTCAAAGTGCCGCTGGACCCGTCGCCTCACCGGGTCCGGCGACGATGAACGCCTTAGAGCCATCGGCAGCGCCGCGACGAGAGCTGCACCTAACTGACACGGAGACCGGGATAGGCCTCCAAGAATCGTAAGAAGGACTATCTCATAATACACATGCCTAGTGAGCGCATCTCTATAGCGGCTGCTACAATGGACGCTGCAGACAAAGTATTGACTAAACGCTGTGTAGCCAGGACATCGACTTGACCGACCTTGTACCTCCGGCAGTCGAGCGCGAGAAATGCCCCTACGCAAAACAGATCGATGGAGAGGAAGAGTTATATTAGCAAGACTCTTAGCAGCACAAGTCTGAACCGGGTGAGCCCGTCCTATCAAACTCGGTCCTGCTGGCCGATCCTGCCACCGACGACGAGGAGGGCGTGCCCTTCGTGCCTGGCAGGAGACGCCACGGCCCTCTTTCAGTCCGCTCTCCGTCACACAAGCAAGACGACTAGGACTTCCGAGAATATCCCTTAACAAGTTCCGAAGGACTGTATAATACGCCGGGAAGCTCGTTCCGCGGCTATAGAAGCAAGTATAAGCGAAAGCGACTGCACGTTGGGTGTGGACATGGCGACGATGACGATGTCACTGGCGAAGAAGCCGAGGTTCTGCGCGAGGTAAGATGTGGATTCTCGTGCCTCCGATGATGCTAACATGTATCCCGCAGGCGAAAGACGGATTACAGAGGCGTCGCAAAGCTCGCAAACGCCGCGGCAACACTGATTGTCGCTCGCCACATCCTGGCCGGCCGGTCATTACCGCGTGCTCGCCCACGACTATGCTAGTGCTATTCCAACTAACTCGTAGGAGACACTGCCGAGATGACGATGCTCGCTCTCGGCTGTCTAAATCTTGCGTCGCATCGACATCGCCAGAGCCGCTAGAGCTGCAAGAGCAACCGACCTGGGCCGTTGACCGCATCGTCAAATGCAGTCGGAAGAATGGTAACGTGTTCTACAGGGTCAAATGGAAAGATACCTAGGAGCCTGCATCCAGTCTGCACGGGTGTGCCGACATAGCCGTCGCAGAATTCCACGCTGGGCGTCCTGCTAGACGCTCCTACAACGGTTGAATCGAGACGAGCTTAGTTTTGCGGCTTGTATATCTATGTTGTGTGTCAGTTCAAGATGAGAGCGCGACCTACTCTTGCGATCAGCCCAAACTTCGGCAGGTCCCTGGCTCCCAATAAGCAACCCGCTGGCGCAGACAGTTCTCACCCCTTCCCGTTAGACGATCAAATCGGTAGAGATGACCACAACCACCATTGGATGCCGGTGGCATCCAACATGCCTAAACAGCATCTCTTAAACAGAATTTTGTACGACTACTCGACCTTCTATCTTTTCTTCTATACGTTGGATAAAGTAATGCGACCCACAGGGACTGAGAAAGCACACCTGTCGCTTCAGAGCCAACCACCAAATTGCAAGTGTCCAAACTCTGCGTACATTGCCAGAAGCCACCAGCTAAACGCAACTGACTTTGTGAAGGGCCACCCGGGCCTTGAAATCCTGTTGGTCTTAATTAAGACTCTGTGCTGTCGCCCACTTCAGCAGTACTCAGCCAGCCCTCCAGCAGTTCGGCCTTCGAAATCTCTTCCCCCGGCGTGGGTTGGACTCTCCAGGCTAGGTCGTGGTGCTAGGAACGAAGTGCAGTTTTCCGCTGTATGAACGACTCAGGATCCATTCCAAGGTCTTCGCATATCCCCCTTTTATTTTCCACAGCCTTCGATTGTTGTGCGAGATCCTCGGCCAGTTTGCGGTGATCTGCCCGATACCGTGTCTCGAAAAGGGAATCGGGTGTGCTTGGTTCCATCTCCTGGTCTCTCCGAAATTCGCGGCGCTCACGGTCTTCGTTGTACGTGTCAATCAGATCCGAGATACGTTCCTCCAAGATCGACTTGTCTCCGACAGCATCAATGTACGCTTGGACTTGCTCGGGTATCTCCTCGGACTTCTCGGACGGGGTGCGCATCCCTCCGAGGGGAGTGTCTTGCATGCGCTTCAACAAGGTTTCGGAGCCTTGACAAGTCTTTAAAACTTTCCCAAAAGAAGCCACCTAATGGCTGTCGAGGGTCGTGAGCTCGAACTGCAACTTCCCTACCTCTTTATCGATGTCCATTACAACCTTCGATTGCTTTTGCATCGCCGACATGTCCTTATCCAGCTGTTTCTTGAAGGACTCCACGCCAATATCGTCCGAACTCCGCTCCTTTCCCTGAGTGGCTACAGCCTGCGCTATCTCCGCCATCGTCTCCTGAATGAATCTGAGTCGATCCAAGCACTTTGCCATTTCCGCAGTCCTTTGCGTGCTCACATATTGAATGGTGTTACGTTGTCTCTGAGTCTTGGCGTACAGGTCGAGGAACTGATCGAGGGAGCCAGCGCTTTCGCCATCGCTTGGATGAGACCTAACCGTATGGGGCGGATGAGACATTTGCTTCCTGCAAGACGACACATCAGCACCTCGTTAGGCACCAGAAGCCATGATGAATGCAAATGCCTTCAGTATTGTTACCCACGATATGCAAGCTGCTATAGCACCACCACAAGAGCACAGTGCGCGGTCAGGAAAGGGCCTTCGTCTGCGGAAGGAGCAGAGCGAAAGAGAAAATAGTGAAGTTTGAGAACGACGAATCCGCGGACTGGCATGCTTATATATGTACACACCACGAAGTTACTGCACGCAGTCACCGGTACTCAAGGCTCGCCAAGTTCTCCGACACGTGCAGCACGCTGCAAACAAGAACGGAAAGGGCATGTGCAACAGGGTGGCAAGCCACACTATCATTCCAGTGAATGTTATCGCGCTGGGGTTCTTTTGCTTCTGCCTGCTCCATTCGATTTGGCAAGATGTGCTACATTGCAAATTGACAAGCGTACGTACACACTAGTCTACGTGAATACATTTGGCAATGCTGGCACTGTCTCTCGGATCCAGCCAATCTTTTGTCTGAAGAATTCTAGTTGAAGGGCGAGCAAAAAAGCTGGATCTTCAAGGCTGCCAGATCCATCCATCCCTGACTCATAGTAGTTGACCCTATAGTCAAACCTCTGCAGCGTCTCACCAAGCCGCCTCGCCTTGCGAGTGTCGAATGGGTCGCTCAAGCTATTGCAGCCTATCAGAAGACCATGTTGCTGTGCGCCTTTGTGTCCCTGAATAAGGCGACCAGCTGATCGAAAGGCTACCTCGCTGCTCCAACGAGGATTGTACGAGCCGAACGCTGCGAAGATGCCTTCAGAGACGGGATAAATCTCTATCAAAGCTGCGCCGTGCTCGAACGCACCCAATATTGCGATGCGTCTTGGGACGGTCACGTCGTTTGTGACGAGGTCCGTAACGATGCAGGTTGCATCTGTGACGGACGAGACGGTGTCCGAGTAGTCACTCGGTACGAAGATGATGGCACCGCCAGGTTCGAGCCACCGCTGGCCAAGAATCGTATTGTAGCCTGGGATCATGTCGGGGCCGCAGAAGATAAGACATACAGGCTGCTCGGCTGTTGTCCCCGGAGGGCCTACCATAATGTATGGGATCGATTCACCCTTGAGATTTCCCGTGTGGTGATCGGTAAGACTGTACCCGACAGTGTTGAAGGTCGTCGGCGCCTGGCGCAACAATTCAAATTTGCCATCAGGACCGCTACTCGTCCAAAACGCTGGAGGCGTGAGCGGGCCTTGCGAAGTCAACAGAAGCGTACTGTCTGTCTCACCGGCGTAATCGTCCAACGTCGCAATTGACATCACCTCGCCTGCAGGTAGAGGCTGCGCAGCCACTTCTAACCATCCGTTGGCGGGCTTGAACATGCGAATGAAATATCGGAGGTTGTGACGGAATAAGATCACCAGATGAGTCTGGTCCAGAAAGGCTTCTTGGAAACCGCTTGAATCGCAAAGCTGAACTGGCTTAGTGTTCTCCGCGAACAGTTGCCCTACCGACACCCCCACGATTGTCCCGGCCTCGTAGTTGCCCCCATTAAGCGACCAGTCTTCTTTGAGCAGGATTGCCAATTGTTCTCCACGGATCACCCACAGGGAAGTCTTTGGGATGGGCAGGCTGACGTAGGGTCCCTCTCGTCGACCCAAGTAGATGACGTTTGTCAAGGGGGTTTCGACATCGACGTACACCACCGCTTCATCCTCCGCTCCCCAGTCACGAAATGCTTTCGCCAAGATATGGTCTGGTGCCACGACGAACAAGACTGGCGCACATTCAGCTAGGGTTCCACGCATCCAGAGCCGTACAGTGCCTGCCTCCCCTGCCTGGGTTCGATTGTCACCTCCATTCAAGGCCGACATGAGCAGAACTCCATTCTCCTCGAGCCAAGCCACTTCGCTTGGCGAAGTTGTTGTGAGCCTGAACTCCTGGTGGGGCACTGGTGTACAAGTGCGCAAGTCCCACTCACGCAGTGCGTATATGTCCTCCGCGACATTCCGCAGTTGAACTATGGCCTTTTCATGCTTCGGCGGAAGTGACCAGAAACCGCAAAGCACCCACTCTGTGTGCTCGTCTGCGTTCAGCTGACCAACGTCAACGACGACTTCCCCAGCGTTATCGAGCTCCCGATACTGCTGCATCGTAGTCCGGCGCCAACACCCGGAAGGGTGTTCTTCGTTCAACAGTCTTTCGTATAGCATGCCACCGATGCGCGTTATGGACGGGAGTAGTCGATTTGTGTCGTTGTCTGCGAAGTGCAAACCATGGTGACCGTAGCGAGGACCATCACTGCCTAGCATTTGCAGCGTTCGCATACTCTGGCAACGCGCCCACCCTGGTTCGTCGGTCGATTCCTGCATCTTTGCTGCTGGAAGGGTGAGCAAAACGGTTCACGGCGCGGCAGTCATCGTGGTCAAGGCGACTTTTAAAGTCTTTTGAGCCCAGTCGTGATCGTCGACTCGACTCCAATGGCCTTTGATACATTCACGTCTAGTCCCAATGATCAAGACCAAGGGATGATGTCCAATCCCGGGCCCTTCTTAAAACAGTTTGCTTTAAGGCCGAAACAGAAAGGATTCCTTCCGAGACGTGTTGGCTTAGAGTCTCATCGAAAAGACAAGTGTGGAGTGCTGCGCTCGTGTATCGTCGTCGCGGCGTTTGCGATTGGACTTAGGTGAGATTGGCATATATTCTTCCGTTACGCTGTCTGGAAGGCAGGCTTAGTGAACACACTCGCTGACAGCTATGTCCTCTTTCTTGCCGTGCGGCGATGGCATCGATTTCAATGTCTGGCAAACACAGCTTGATCGAATTTTCGTTCCACGCTCGAAATACCCTATTCTTCGTTTGATTGGGCCGGAGAATGTTGTCAATCTTCACCTTGAAATGCCAGACCCTGGCGATGTTGCTGAACTGCGATGTACCACGGCACCGCTTCCCGCAGACATACACGGTCTGGAGATGAATGAAACTAGTCACGCGCACTGCTTCGCGGACGTGTACATGTTTCTCAAGCAGCAGGGTCTGGAGAAATGGAGGCTGCCGCGAGCAGCAAGCGAAACAATCAGTTTTCAGGCAAAGTTTTGGATGTAAGTGCATCGACAGGAAGTTAGAACACAACAGACGCTGATTGTTGCGAGGTATTCGATCATAACGTGTCTGGCCTCTGCTCGAGGGGCATTCTTCTTGCAAATCGCTGTCACCCAGGAGCCGCCATTGGCATCTTTGTGGACCCGTCTATATCCACACATTCCGTGCCCGCAAGAAGCTTTGCGCGAGTCGATGCGCTCAGTTGCAATGCATGTCGAGGAAGAAGCCGCAACCTTGGATATGGCCTGGAGCTTGTTCGTATCATGGCGCGAGGCATTCGCACAGTACTGGATCCACGACGTTCGTTTTGACGACCGTACAAAGCAGCCTTCCAACACGGCCATGAGGCAGGGACGAGTGACCCTCAGCGGTATGGAAGCCCACACAGCGATAGTAGAAAGAATGAACGCCCACATCAGGGCCGAACGATCACCGTAGATCTATCATCTCTTAATGAAGTGTATTTCAGTCAGCGTCTGCTAATTTCATGCTTGTAGTCTTGACTGCCACAGGATATTAGCGATCCATTGATTCATAAATGCGACAGAGCCCATACCCTTCTACCACGCTTCCCTTGGCCCTGTCAACGCCGGTGCTTGCAGTGCTTGCGTTTTTATTGAGCATGTAGTCGTTCAGGGTGGATCTTGTTTGCAATGGCATTTATTCTTGCGAGTCCATTGAGTTCAGCTAGTGTTATGGCTATGAATCTTCTTGTCTCGATCACGAGGAGTATTCTCGAAACGGCAGGCCTCACGCTGGACGGGATCCAGTCTCGTAGAAAGTCGTTGTTGCTGCAAAGATCGTAGATACGTTCCAAGCTTTCGAATTCAATCATGTAATTCCGAATCTCTGGGCGTATAGATGTTGCGCTTTTCTGGACGGTCTCTGGCGGCATGTCTGCGAAATAAATGTTTCCGGCTGCAGTACGTGAAGTGCCGGAGGGATGCACTCTTCTTGTGTAAGTTGGGTCGTGGCAATATAAATACTGAGTTGGTCAGGCTGATGCTGAAAGCGTAGTTTCTGCGTAGATGAACCCAGGTCCTTGACAGACTAGAGGACAAGCAGTCACTTGCGCAACACAGCTCGCTCTCCAAGACCTTTGCAGAATGTAAGCCGGTTGCGTGGTCCATTCCACCAATCTTTTTCGTTCGTCCTCCCATTTGCAGTCAGAGTAAGTGGAGTTCGAAACAGACATTGCCAAGGGATGTTACAGTAGCGTAGAGGACAACGAAACTTCTCGAGGCAGTGTGCTTTTGGAGGTCTTGTTCGAGGTACAGCTGTTTGGAAATTACGGTCATCTCGAAATACGTTCTGACAAGATCTTTGCTTGCACGTGAACCAATACCCTCATCAAGACGGCGCATGAGCTCATGGTGCCCGTGCCCAAACCCAGACTCCACCCTCCACGCGCCCGTACCGTCCATATCGAGGATCGAAGACCCATGGTCCAGGGGTTTGTGTCTACGAGTGCAAAAGTTAGCAATGTCTTACTCGATCCGTCTTGGCCACTTACCCCAGGAGTGGCATCCGCACATGGATCAAATCGGGTACCCATCATATTACGGGTCATTGTGAATCCTTTACTCTGTAGAAGGCCGTACAAAGTATTTACCGCTCTGGGAAGCTGCGCCAGGTCGTAACGACCAACGGGAGTAAATACGCCGTGCCCTTGTCTCTCCTCCCAGGTGAATGCCAGAGACAATTCATAGTAGGAGGTCGTCCACTTGTCCAGTATTTCGGACTTGAAGTATTGCTCCCAAGCGTTGGTTCCTTCGGGGGACGCAGTCGGAGGTTCAAATGCGACCAGTACTGAATACGCTGCGCGAGACGTGGCCATGTCGATTGCTGTGAGGTGTAGACCTGAAGAGAGCAGACTGCGAATAACGATGAACGTCGATGGAATGTTGAGACTCTGGGGGAAGACCTAGCTTTATAGTGCGTTGCAGGATTTCTTTCATCTATCTCAGGTGACTTCCAAGATCGTGCGAGGTACAGCACATTGGAGATGATATGAGCTGCATGGATCGACATGCAAGAAGATGAGCAAAGGAAGCGCCATTTCTGGACTTTCTCAAGTCACGCCACGATGAATGTCCGCAAGTTCATTCTAAGTGTTTATGTTTACGGACATCAGGTGCCCTAATTGAGACGAACTAGAAGAATCTCTTGCATTGCCAATGGGAACACACGCCCTCGTATTGATACACGTCTACTCGGAAGATGGTGAAGCACAATATACCTGCCAACCCTTTGCTACTAAGAGCCTAGACGGCCTGATCTTAAAGAGCTCGATGGTGGCCTAATACTAGCGTGATACAAAGTCCTCGTGGAAGTAACGCCGTCATCCAATCGGCTTGCGCAGGATACAACCCTGTCCCTTGATCGGTCCGAGAGCGTACTGTCTGTACTCTCCAAGGGTGCCTGATGCCTTGTCTGCCGCCGATTCTGACGTTCACGGTAAGCCAATAGAGTTGGGCTGTAGCGCAGCGGCAAAACAAGCACAAGCAGTTGCAGGCACTGGAGAGTGAAGACGACTAGGGTTCTTCTCTTGTCGAGTAGCGCCGTCCAGATCCACATGAAGACCAGGTTGCTGAATACCGTCAGAGCGATGCCAATCCCCCAATAGTGTACTCACATGCAACGGAACAGAAATGGACAGATCTGTGACCATTTCTTAGATGTCGAGCAGTCTAGTCTTAAGATCTTCATCACTATAAGAGTAGTGAACCCCAGCTCTGCAAGACTGACATTTGCTGTCGCTATGTATAGTGCTATGAGTTTAAAGGCCTTTTTGGTTAGTCCCGTCGCCAAATCTCGAAAAGCATTACTTACTGTTGAGGCCATTGGCAAGCTCACGAGTATGATGCTCGCGACGCCTGCACATATCGCCACTGACACGGCATATTTCCACAAAAGGCCAAACTTGCCAATCGCGTGCAGAACCACAGCATTGAGCTCCAAAGACCCTTGGCTCAGCAACATGGCCGCGAACAGTGCAGTACGCGAATGAGCGACCTCTTCATAAACCTCACTATTGCCGTTCGTTACGATGCAGTTTTGTTGGGATGCAACAGTCGCGATAATGCCGAATGCCGTGGCAGCACACTTCGAGCAGATTAGCAGTGCGGGACTGGATCAAGACGATGACATACCCAAGCGCCGATGCTCATTGCGGCCTGAACAGGAGCTGTCCATGCTGGGATTCGCGGACCGCTGGCGGGGGCGGAGAGTGCCTTCCGCTGCGCTTGGTAACTGCCGAGAACAAGTGCTGGAATCGTGCCAAGGAGCAGCAGAAAGACAATGCAGATGATGAATGACCAGTCCTCCATTTTAGGAGGAGGTGACATGTGCTTGACTTGTCTTCAAGCTGCCAGTCGGAGGTGGTCACGTCTTGATATATCATGGATGCACAATTTAGTGTCGCTTTGGACGTTGGCAATGCCATACGTTTTTGTGAGGAGAGGGAAGGTGGCCAATTTGAGCCGCGAGCCGTACGCTTGGCACCCAGGCGCGGGACTAGGATTCTCCGCTGAAGAGGCTAACTATAGATGGGGTGCGACATTTCGCACCCCATACATAGCTTAGCTCCTTCACCCAGCCACGGCCAGTCTCACAACAGACATGACCTCTGCAATCGATAATTTTCGAGGTTCACCATCAGAATACATATTGTACCTTGAGAAAACAATCATTTCATTGAGACAACGTCAGGCTCAATGCCATTGTCATGCTGCTTCTCCACATACTCAGGCGAACGACCATGATCATGTCGAACGAAGCGGACATGAGGAACTGGAAATTGTCCAGTTCTGTCCCACGGCGAGCTCCCCGACAACGAATGTGACAAAGAAGAGAAGGTTGGAGAGACACATGCCCCGATGGCAAGAGAAGGTCTTAACACTCGTTGAGGAAACTCCCAAGGCGAGCAAATGGATTCTCAGGCTTCAGGAGAAGGGTATATTCGATGCAATGTGCAATGGCAAGGCCGTCAGCAATCTCCTGCTCCTGGACGCCGAAAGAGAGACTAGGACTACATCTCGTGAAGACTTCTCTATGACTAGAGTATTCCGATCGAGCCCACTCGCCCGCATCGAACATTATGCGCGTGTATCAGTGCAGAAGGAGATGACTGCCGCTGTAGCCACATCACTGGCGAACTACCAAAAACTCCTGGTCCTCTCTGCATGTGTCGTGTTGGCAGGTACGGGCACCGCGAGTGAGGACGTTTACGGTATTGTTAGGATCTGTATGGGTAACGACGTGACCGACGTGCACTGCAGGAGAATACTGCGAGGCTGCCGATTTGTGCACGAATTGATGGACACTCTGTATATGGGTGGTTGGGGCCTTCGAGCCTTTGAGCTTCTCCTCCTCTGTGAGTCTTCGATGCGGTACACAGCATTGTTCGTTTCTTTGAATAATTGACACTGAATGAAGGGAACAAGACGCCGGCCTTTTACTGCACAGTTGCCTATGCATACGGGCCTAGTCTTGAGCTATTGAAGGATAGGCTTTGCAACAAGGAACTCACAGGAGATGTCGAGATGAGTCCTGCTACTTGGACATCGATCTTTGCGCCCAAGATCATTAAGGATATTCTGGGCGAGTGCATCGAGTAAGCCAAATATCGTGTCGATGCTTTCGTGGCTAATAATTTCAGGGTTGCGAAAGTTGCAGAGCTTCTTGGCTACAAGTACACCTCTCTGTTCAACACACGCGTAAATGCGTGGGATTATCGAGAATCCCCAGATCAATCGCAGGTCATGCGTGTAGAATAGAGGCATGGTCCGTTCAGAAGGTTTTCATAGATCTATCCAGATGAGGACGGCCATGCCCCCTCCTGTTGGGGGCAGAAATAAATCGGCACCGCCATCAATGCAGACGTCCTGACCGCACTGTAATTCAAATGGGAAGCCGTTACTCGGGCTAAGATCCTCTAAAGCAACGCATATCATCGTCTGTGTCCCACTGCTCCTGTTGTAACGGGCTGGGTGTGGTACCAGCTCCCACTTGGTATATTGTTTGAACTTGTAGACTCCAAAGGCTAGGACCAGCTCTTTGTTTGCGGGCTTCTGGGCACGATCGACGTGGTGGGCTGCTCGCCTAATGTTATCTTCGCACTTCGAAGTTGTCAGGTCAGTCGGGATTCCTGCGACCATGTTCGATTTACTCACTTCAACCCATACATCCGCGAGGATGCTCAGTTTCTGCGTCAATCCATCTTTGTCAAATCTCTCGTACCAAAACGGTACCGTATTGCGTTTCGCGAACCAATCTCTGCGGCTCGCATCACTCGAGAACTCGATAATCTCGGAGAGCAACTCGGATGGAACTCCCTTCCCAATGGACTTCGCATATCTCCCGAATTGTTCGTCCGCTTCCTTAGAGGTCATCGCTACCTCACTTTATGAGACTCGCGCGATGTTGGACTGTTTGGAGGTGGAACGTGGGCCATGGAGGATGGAGGGTGACAGGGACCAAAATTTGAAGCTTTGTTAGCTCTGAGAGAGTCATGTGCCAAATGACGTGTCCTCGAAGTCGCGAAACAGCAGCTTCCCAACAACCTCGATTACTTGCACTCTTGGAGCTACAATGGACACCCATGTCTACTCTGACCTAAGCCAGCGATACAACAAGATCGATTTTGTCCACGAGCAACGCAGCTGGCTGCTACACGCGGATGCGAGACAGGTCCTTCTCGACCTCGCCAACATCTTCATCCGACACGGCGCCAACACCAACTTCGCCATTACCCTCCTTCATCGACATCACCAACTACACCCTGGTCATGCAATGATTCATGTCCGCGATTGCAGCGGCGCAGATATCTGTAGCATGGAGCAGCTGGGTACTCGCCAAATTTATCCATGCGCGTATCATTGCCTCCTGGATCAGGATACGCCCTTCCTACCGTTTGAGTTCTCCTCCGATCCCTTGCCAACTCCAGACCCGAGCTTTCTCTCTGATGTCGCCAACTACCTCCGACTTCGAAATCTTTGCAATAGAATCGGCGTATCATACACGGATGGATCTCAAGAGGTGTGGACCGAAAGGTTGTTGGACAATGGACAAGGTACGATTGCTGTGGTTGCAAGCCAAGACCAGGCCTCGTTGGATGACAACTATATCGTGACGGAGTGGTTTGTTTCTCAGGACGAGAATGGGATCAACACAGTGGCCATCAAAGGCTGCAATGATCAGGAAGTGGGCCACTCAAGGAAATAGCCAGCAAATCTATTTGTTAAGACCCTACTTGTTCAAGAGCCGTAATTTGGACTTCGGACGTCCTAATACTTGGTTGTAGCTTTGTGCTAGCAGACGCTTGCGCGAACAGCAGGGGAGAACTTGACGTTCTCTGACTATGCTGCAAATATGGTGTCCCTGCGAGGCACGTGACACAGTTACAGCAAACAACAGCACCTGAATGAATGTGAAAGCGTGCGCCGCAAGAATCAGTGCTGTACAACCGAGCTACAATTGAAAACATGGCGTGTGGTCAACACGAGAAAAGTGCCTTGGGAAATGCGACATTGGCAGGACTTAATCGGGACAATGGCCACGTCAACCAGAGGATGGTTATGGTACTATGCGAAACCTTCAATGGCATCCCCCTTGAGAATATATCGTTCCCAAACTGCACCGATGCTCGGGAAGATCAATGCCCGTGGAACCCTTTTCGTTGTTATATAACAAGGCTACGCACGCATGTAAAGCCTCACTCTCAGACTTATCTCATGCGACATTCACCATCATTCATCAAGATCACTGGAGCTGTTTCAGAGCCTTTGGCTGGAAGGTCAACAGGTCGAATCTCAGCTGTCAATATCAATCAGTCAATCATCTGCGATGGCAGCCTTCCCCAGCCAACATATTCGAGTGCAGGTTGACAATCGGGATTGGAACCAGCAAGTATCGAGAATCAACATTGTCGTACACACTGAAGGGCAATGGGAAAGATCTGGTCTGAGCAACAATCATGTTACGCAGTATCTTTCGATACCGAACGGCCGATCCGTCCAGATTAACGAACGCCATGTCGACGATGAGGACATCAATGGGCGCTTTGAGATGGTCAGCAGAAATTACAGATATAACAACAGCCGCTCCTTGATCACAAGTTTCGAATTCGCTCTAAGTCAACCAGTCACAGTCAGAGCAATTCATGACTTCATTCGAAGCAATAGATTTAATGACTTTTGCTTTGCTGATGGGGGTATGGGATGTCGGTATTGGCAGTAAGTCTTGCTAACTTTGCGATGTTCAAAACACACGAAAGCTTAAAAATCTTTCAGTATCACTCTTCTTGCGCTATATGAAGTGAAGGGATGGGTCGCCCCTTTCTCCGGTTCAAGGCTTCTGGAAAATCTTTCGTTCTTGTATTCAAGAGCAACAGCCGCAATCCCTACTACTGTCAAACCCGGAAGTTTTGATGAGGGCAAAACTCGTCAACTCGCGAGAACAGCTTGGACACTCATGAATGGTCAAATGGAGACTTCAACACAAACACTATCAAGACAGAGACAGTTTGTCACATCGATCTTGTCAAACTTAACGGCGGATCCACAACTAGCTATGCAGCAACTCCAGCAGATGCAAACGCATGGGACTATTCTTCGAGATTCAGATGCTGTACGCGCACATTTGGTTGGGATCGAATCCCACCATACAGCAGCTACTAGGAGGTTGTCCCAAATTGAAGGCATAATGAGAGAATTTGATGAACTTGCAGTGCAAAGGGATGAGTCTTCATAGAAATAAGCACTGTTCTTGTGGATACTACATTCTCTTTCATCGCCTCAAAGCGGAACAAGTTTTCCATCTAGTCTTCTCCGACGTTTGCGTATGTAACCTTTTTCTTCTTCCGTAGGCCTGGAGAAACAACCAATCTTAGCCACATATTATATGAATCTTGATTATGTCTTACCAGTAGAAGCGGAAGTGATTAACGGCCAACTCTAGCCAACATGCCACTTGCTCCGACTCGCGGCTACTTAAAGGTCTCTCGCGGAGAATGGCCGCCTCAATCGCCTGGTGAAAGGCCAAATCAGTCCCACAATTTCCGACGCCGAGTCGAAGCGCTGCAATTTCGGCAGACCGTGGGAAGTATCCGGCGAACTCCCAGTCCAGAAGCCAGATTTCCTTCTCGGCGAAAATCAGGTTTCGTAGCGCTATATCACCATGAGTGAAAACCAAAGGTGTCACTGCTATCGTGAATTTGTTCGATTGCCTCTTGAGTCTGGAGCGTACGTAAGATTCCAGGCTGGACTTTGTCGTTAAAGTAACTTGATCATCCTCTGACCAGAGGGGGCCAGAGTAGACTCCAGTATTCACAGGGCCAGGCGTGTTCGAAGTGAAATTATGCATGTGAGTGACGATTCTGGCGATCCTGTCGACAGTGTCTTGGTCTCGTACAACCTCCTTCTTCTCGCCGCAGATCCTGTCCATCACGACGTAATCGGTCCCGTTGACAGAGAAGTGCGAGTAGATTCGCGGAACTCGAACAATAGCAGGATCGAGCAGAGCCTGGGCGTGTATTTGATTTTGAATTTCCTCAGCAGAGACTTTGCCATGTTTGATGACAACGTTTCCAAATGAAACAATTTCCGCCTTGCCGCTGTTGTCGATACACTCTCGCGTTGGGTTTCGACATTGATCAATGATATCCTCGATGGATAAGTCGGTATAGCTCTTGGCGCTGGATGAGGGCATTGCGCTATCCATCGGCAGGTCCAGATTACGCAGAAACTTTTAGAGGGGAGCAGAAATAATATTTGTGAGTGAGCCGCAAATGCATTGGTGAAGAATGGAAGCAAGACGCAGCTTTGGGGGAGGTGCCAGAGAGATGATCCGGCGTCTGGCGGATCGGTACGCTCCGCCAGCGGGATAGGCTCACCGGTAGTCGCCTATGCAACCTTCCGGCCTTCCGGGTTGGGCGGCAGCACGCCTGGAGCGACGATGGCCGGCGAATCGCCTACAGCTGGTTTCCTGTGGAACGGCACTTGCCGAAACCCTTTCCGTAGGCATATTCGCAGCCGACGTTACTTCTCGTAGCGGTACCCAAGCATCTTAGCAAGCGCAACGAGCACCGCGTTTGAAAGTGATGACCACTGCAGACGTGAACGCCTCGACCATGTGGCGAAACAATTCCAGTCCCGAAAAAAGCGCACATCTGAGCCTACGAACTCGTCAGGCGATGAAGAAGTCAGCTTGGACGACCAGGACGGGAATAGCGAGCGGAAGCTGTGTAGCAGCTCGAAGAACAGCAGGTGCAACAGGCGAGTCTGGAGAACCAACTAGCCCAACAGAAAGAGCAGATGGAAAGCCAACTAGCCCAGCAGAAAGAAGAGTCTCGCGAGCGGAAGACGGTTATGGACCACCCGGATGAGGCCTCTCGCGAGCAGACAGAAGACTTCCGCGAGCATTGCTGATAAAACTATGCAGATGAGACACTAGACTGTTGACTGCGCCAAGAGACTCCTGGTACCCGATTGTGCTGCGGCATTCGCCAACAATGACGTCCATGATCAGATAGTCGCTGCTGGCCATTCCGGAACACGGCCAATGTTTGTTGGCATGCCGCCTGTTTTCAGCCTCGTCGCTGGAGACTTTGCCAAATTTCGCCGCAAATCTCCCGAAACGGGTGATGCGACTCCTGGTCCTTGAAGGAGGTAGAGATGCGCAGTGTTGGACAATTTCTGCCCATAGGTCGTGGTCAGGCATGAATGCGGAGTAGGTTGTAAATAAGACACTGAGATTTCAGAACTAGCAGCTCATCCCACGCTAGCCGCCAAAGCTTCCTCCTCGAGCTGCAGTCTCGGGAGCTTCATTCTTTGAAGCTTCTAGATCTTGTGCACTGTCGAAGTCAACTGCCAATCACTGGTGCGATTCAAAGAGGAGATTGTGAACAAAAGTTAACCTCTGTCCACTCCGCACTACGTTTTCCATTAGCAATGAGGCAGACTTCCTTGCTCGGTCCAGCCAGTACGAACCAAGTCGGGTGATGGCCTGTTCGCCTTTGCCTTCGACTGGTGGGGTCGGACATGCGCCTCCACGGACGCGAAGCACCGAGCTGCGTAAGCGAGCCAACCAGCACATGCCGGATCTTCGGACACGAGCAAACGTCCTGTATCTCTGACCAGAAGTGGAACATTTTGCTTTGAGTTGAGCTCTCGACAAACTCACATCATTTGCAAACTCACAATGCCATCGGACACAACCAATCTCAATGACAATTCAATGAGCTGGTCGACGGAGGACCGCAAGTCTTCTCTTGGCCAATGTATTGCTTCATCTCAGCACATCTTGGCACTATTGGGTGCTGGCCTCTCCGCATCGTCTGGATTGCAGACATTTACGGGCAATGGCACTTTATGGAGGACGTATCAGACGAAAAGCATGGCGACAAAATCTGCTTTCGCTTGGAATCCAGTCTTGGTATGGCAGTTCTATGAAGACAGGCGCCAGAAAGCTATCGCTGCACCTCCAAACCCCGGCCACTTTGCGCTTGCGAAACTGGCAGAAAGTAAAGAACATTTCTTTGCTATTTCTCAGAACATCGATGGTGAGTAGCTTCTTTGTAGAGATCATTTCCAGCTAATGACAAGCAACAGGGCTATCTGAGCGGGCAGGTCACGATCTTTCAAAACTCGCACCCATCCACGGGTCTCTACTCACTACTACCTGCGCCCAACCAGGATGCTCGTTTGTCAGCTGGAACGGCAGTGCGCTGCCAACCGTTCCAGCGCTGAGTTTGCCACCTGGTGACATTACAGATGCAGCCGTGGAGCTTCCCGACGTCCGAATAGATGATCTTCCTTTGTGTCCAAAGTGCAAATATGGATTGCAGCGACCAGGAGTCGTCTGGTTCGGAGAGCAGCTGCCACAGGAACACCTCACACGAACAGATGAATGGCTTGAATCAGTCCCTAGTGTTGACCTGTTGCTGGTAGTAGGAACGTCTGCGCGCGTGTTTCCCGCGGCAGAATACATACACAGGGCAAGAGCCAAAGGAGCTTCGGTAGCCTTCTTCAATCTTGAGCAGGACGATGATCTCATTGAAGCAGGTGACTGGTTCGTCCCGGGGGACGTAGCGACGACTCTTCCGCGCATTGTGGCAGAGGCTTTGGATTTGCCTCAAGCTGCTGCCAACACTCTGTAAGCACCAAATGGGAGTTGCCCTGTACATCCCTAGCATATCTCGAATAATCTGACCATTAGTCCAAAAGGCTGAGAAGATCCGTTTTCACGACCCATCAAAAACGTGCAATGATGTGTCGAGCAGGAAGGTGAAACAAGATGTCGCTTCGGCCGTCTTCCTGCTTAACGCATTGATGCAGAATCCGGTAAGGAAGTGCTGACAGGCATGTACTGCGTTAGCTTTCGTGCAACTACAGGCACAGATCCACGATCTTGCGGGTCAAGTTTGTTGCCCGAAATGGGCCCGGACTTTCTTCCAATATGAGCTGCTCCACTCCTCAACCCTGGTCGACACGACCCGATATATAAACACGTTCTGCCCACCCAACTCCCTCTTTCGTTTGCACTCGTACTCAATCTCTCTCCCAGGCATAGCCGCTGGTTCAATTGCGGTTGAAACCGAATGAGACAAATCAAATCAAATCAACTTGAGGCATGTCTTCCATGGTCTTCGTGGGCGCGCAGTCCTCTGCTACCGCACAGGCTGTTTCGAATCCTCAGCGCAGAAAGCAACGCGATTGGCGTAGCGGCAGCTATTCAGATGAGACGTACTGTTCGGGGCACGCAGACGGGAATCCTTCCCGTGGGAAGTGAAACGGCACTTGCCGAAACGCTTCTCTCTCCAGCGTGTGATGACTGCCGCCCCGCTTCTCTCTTCTCAAACACAGCGCTTGCGATCATCACCTAGACATCAGCAACGCTACACATATTTGCGGGTTGCAGCTCACTATAGTGTTCGACTATACTAACGAGCGCGACAAGCACCGCGTTTTAAAGCGACGACTATCGAGCGGATACTGCAAGAGCAATCACCTCGCGCAGGTCGCGAACGAACACGAATCCCAGCGCATCCACCATCTCCCGTCTCCACCAAGCGATTAACTAGTGGAAATTCTGAAGAGAAAGTCATCCTTTAAAAGCGAGAGTCCCACTAACGAAACACCGCTCCGGAAGAAGAATCGCAGACTTAGGTCTTTCGGCTCGTCAGACTAGAGCAAAGTCGACTTGAACGACAAGTACGGTCGAGAAATCCACTGGCAAGAGTATTTTAGTGATTGGCCTCCGATTTCAGCAGAACGAAGTATAAGCACGCGGGAGCCTCGAGCAGGCAAGCGGTCTCACACGCCTTCACGATCCGCCAGTTATAGCCAGCGTGTTCGAGATGGAGATTCTCCAGCCGCGTGGTCGAGAAAGCATGAGGAAAAGATGGAGGAAGCAGGATTGTTCATAACAGCAGATCGCACTCAGGCCGCCATCACAGACGAGTGCTAAAAGCTGTGTGACAAATTGCTTCAGGCTGAATATTCCATGCCGGCAGACTCAGCGTACGGACAAGACCGTCTAGCAAAGGTGCTAAGACGAGTGCGGTTCCGCAACGAAGCCCGTGTGGTACGGGATGTCACGCCGATCGTGGTCCCATCCCCTGAACTGCTACATATTAACGGACATGCCGAGCTAGATGATGTCTGTAAAGCGATGAATGCGGAATGGACGCAATGCGACACCTTGTGTGGCCCGAGACCCAAACCAGATTTCGTGACCGGCTTATCGGCTGCTGCTTTTACAAAGGAGGAAAAAGAAAAGCTCCAGATGAGTCACACGAGTGCATGTCCCAACCTGTTCCTAGAGAATATGTACTTCCCTTTCCTCATCTACGAGGTAAAGGGCAGCGATCGTCTAATCGAGGAGGCGGAACGGCAGGCCATGCACAGCGCCAGCATTGCAACGCGAGCCGTGGTAGAACTGTTCCGGAAGATTTCTGCAACGGCTGAAGTTCATAAGAAGATTCTCGCGTTCTCTGTTGCTCACAACCATTCGATAGTGATGATCTTTGCTCACTTCGCGACTATTACCGACCAGCGCACATCGTTCTTCCGCCGTTTGCTACATCTTCATCGCTTCGCCGAGGATCTCGAATCTACGGCCTGGACTAAGTCGTATCAGATTATTCGAGCTATCTACGAACACTTCGTTCCTCAACACCTCGCCTAAATACAGGGGGCCCTTTCGAGAATGCGAAGCCCATCGCTTGCATCATTCGCAACGTAGCTCGGTATCGACGAGGATTCCCAAGCATCGACACCTGACCAGTCTTTATTACAAGAAGACGGGAGATTCAAGAAGCCTTTGCTTCCTTCGATGACGAAACTGCAAGAGGAGAATAATAAGCTGCGTGACAGGCTTTTGGAGCTGCTGCGGGAACAGCAAGCGGAAGCCATCAGGCAGAGGCAAGAACAGCATGAGACAAAGGCGATGATGGAGGAACAGCTGGCCCAGCAGAGGGAGGAGTCTCGCGAGCAGAAGACAATGATGGAGACACAGCTGGCCGAACAAAAGGAACGCTCTCATGAGCAGAAGATCATGATGGAAGACCAGCTAAAGCGGCAGAGGGAGCAGATGGAGAAGCAGTTGGTCCAGCAGGAAGAAATCATCACCCTATTGAAGATGTCAAAAGCATCTTGAGTACCATGCAGTGTACAGTACCAAGCACACTGGAGCCGAAAGGACAACTCACGATCACTCGTGCACGAAGGACTCGAGGAAAGATTGATGAATTCGAGACTATGTCGCCAGGCTTGAACATCTACAGTATTTGGGAAGGTGTCTCGACCACAATCTGTACGGAATTACTTCAATGCCGGTGGAGGGTGGTCTTTGCCAAGGAGGCATCCAGTTCCCGATGCCTCCTTGGCGCTCGCATGCCGCGAGACTTCAAGGTTACGTCATCCGACTCTCCCCTTGGATCCGATTCCGAGAGACCATGCCAAGGAGACACCGCAGGTTTCGATGCCTCCTTGGCACTCACATGTTGCAGGAGGTGGAAGTGACGAACGAAGAAAAATATTGTCTCGTAATTTGGTCCTCCGGTCGCCTCGTCATCACTACTACTCCTCGCTATCTGCGACCTTCACGACCTATCACGCACTCTCTGCACCTCATGCCACCAGCATCTACGCCATGAGACTAGTCTAAGTTAACTTACTCAACCTTAGCAGCTTCGAGTTTACCGAGTTCTGCGACACCGATAGACCGGCGTACGTAATCGCATCGCATCGATGGCAGGACGAGAAAGCCACGTTTCAAGTCGTCTAAGGCTGCGCAACACGCACAAAAGAGGTTATCAGGTTGAGGCGACTAATACAATTTGGTCCGACCCTTGAAAAGCTCACGCTGCAAATCATCCAATACAGCACTCTACTACAGTAATATTCTCCTGCGAGCTTGAAGCGGCAAGGAAAGAACGAGAGAACCGCACGAAATGATTTCTTTATAGAACGTAAGTCGGCCTTTCAGCGACCAGAAGTGTTCTTCAAGTAACACACTGCCGTAATTACGTCGTCCTCAAGTAGCCGCTGCTCCTTATTAACCTCTACATCGTCGTTGGCTCTCCCCCAGAGCTTCGCGCCACGCAACATTCGATCGTTGTTGAAGACGGACTGCTGTACATCACGTTTGTGGAAGTCTAGACCATTTCGGGCTGCATTTACCAAAGAGTTTGTCATTGAGATGGAGCGCTCTGCTGGCATCGAAGTGCAAGGCGTAGCAAAGAGTCTTTTTGCAACCTTTGCAAGAGCTGGGTATGCTCCAGAGATGTTGTTGTAGAATGATAGTGGATCCCCTTCATGGTCCCAAATCGGCTTGGTCTTAGTGTTTGAATAACGACAGCTTCGAAGGGACTCGAATTCCTTCAACACAACATTAGCATTCTGGGAAGTCTGCTCTGATATCAAGACAAGGCTCCGCAGCGGGGTGTCACCAGCCATTAGTGGCACTACTGTTGTGATGTTTGCCGGATCTAGCATGTATGCCGCGATAGTTGCTGGTGATACGCGGAATCGGTCTCGGCATACCCTTTTCACAATGTCTGGAAGGTCGACAAGGTCGACGTCTTCGGCTCTAGCTTTGCTTAGGCTAGTCAGAGCATTGTATATTGCTTCCCACTCACTAATAGTGTGCCGAAGCCCACGCTCATTCAGCTCGACCCGACGAATGGCCTTTTCGATAGGCTCTAACGCAGCGCTAAGGAGACCTAGATCGTCCCAGAAAGTCTCGTCTGCAGCAATTGCTTGCAAGGTGTGTGCGTCAGGCTGGTAGGTCCAAGTAGCAACGGCCGTGCTTACAAGATTGTGTATAGATCGTTTTAGATCATTGACGGAGAGGACCAACCGATACTTCTCGCCCCAGCCCGTGAACAAATACAAAGGTAACGTAAGAGAACGCCCCAGGTATTTATTCGCTTCTTCCTGCAGCTGCCGGTATCATTTTGGCAAAGTGAAGAGTCGAGCTAGTGTTCCGCACTGGATTGCGATCCATTTGAAGCGCGGAATCGATATTATTTGCTCTGTCAGCGATTGTAGGCTGTGGCTTGCACAGGAAACCAGTAAGACGTGACTGAACTTGTTGTCCCTTCTCAATTCCAAGACAGTTGCAAGCGTACTTCGACTCGAATCGATTATAAACGAGTTCAATAGGCTTGGATCATCACTGGCGATAGTGGTTGCCCTTTGTGCCAAAATCTTGCTACGCGTGACGATAATAGGCTCCAGGAAGCCTAATGTATTGCTTTGAATACAGATGGTCCTAGCCTTGGTATCATGAATCGTGTAGCTCTGCACATGCTCGCCTTCCAACGTCTTGGTATGTTCGACACCCACGTTTATCGAGGTAAACCGTTCATCGAGGCCAAACAGTTCACCACTCTCTTCCAGCGTGTCCTCATAGACTCCATAGAGATCACTAGAGGCAAGACTCTCCTCAGTAGGAAGCTCCGACGATTCGCGGCAGTGAGAATCCACCTGAAGTAACATTCGATGCACAAAGCGTTCGTATGACGACGATTCTCTATAACACGCCCTCGCGTGTTTTTGTCGCCGAATTTTCTGATCATCCCGATGGGTTGTCCGGCGGCGTTTGTCCAAGCGCGCTGTTGCACGAGTCAAGGATGGAGTCGTGCCTTTGCTGCAATGTGGAGGCGCCATAGAATGCGTACGCAAGCTCTTCTAAAGCAAAGCTGTCTTGTGCTGCAACATCGGCGCTGCGTGCGTAATTCAATATATACAGATGGCGAGACGCTTCTGGCGGAGAAAAGGCATTCATATATGCCTCGCGGATGAAGGGATGTAGGGGTTGCCAAGAGCACATTATCAAGACCCCGGGGTTCAGGATTGCTATTTATGTTGGCCTTCCATATAGTGTACTGTTCTGTAGCATACCCTTTGCAGTCTCTACCATCCTACCGCTGTGGAGATACTCAGATTGCAATGTTGGCCCATCGACGAGAGGAGATGAGCTCTTCTAGTATACTGTACTGTACAGTACTCACCCGAATCACACGATCTGTTCCAACCTATGAGATTTGAGTACACAAATCGAGAAGTTGGTCCGTGCCGTCTGCGAAGTCACGTAGATCCTCCACATTCTCGAACTTGAAGCGGGTTGCGGGACGTTTCTGCAGAAGTACGTCGTAGACGTTCAACAACTTCTGAGACAGAGCACGTAGGAACTCACCGCGGAAGTTCAGCAGGAGCCGCAGCAGGACTTGCGATGGGCCTTTCTTCATTTTTGCGATCCTGCGCCAACGTTAGCGCCTGGGTTACTGGGAAGAGGGGGCCTGCCCACTGGAATGGTGCGCAACCAACCAGGTCGGCACCTGGAATGACCGCCAGGAGTCCGATAGAGAATTCCTTTTGCAGCTCCAGCCACTGACGCGAGTATGAACACATCTGCCCAAGTGCGCTGCGTTTCGTTGCGTACATCTGTTGCTCTGGTTGCAACCTTGGATGCATTTTTTTCATCATCTCGTTCGTTGCCAATTTTGTCGCAGTCGGGGCGCTGCAGCCGTCGCGCTGGTGTCTTTGTTCGTTCTCATCCCGCCATCGAACAACATTTGACCAGTGATAGCGTAACAGTAACGGGGAACGCTTCCCCTCGTCCTCCAACTGCGCAATCGCCGTTGCAGAAGACTCGATACTATCATCGCAGGTGAAGCAACGTTTAGTTTCTCGAGCAGCTAAGCATGCGTCCTTCAATGCCTGTATGGTCTCCAATGTACCGATGTTGTTCAGCAAGTTTGTCACAATAGTGACAGACTCAACCTTTAACTTCATCAGTCTGAATTCTGCTAGTACCTCCGCAGAAGATATCTCATGTTGGCCAATCGTCTTTATCCTCTTTGGGTATCCTTCTCGTTCATCTGCATCTGGAGTCGGCCGCTTACTGTTCCTGCTCGGACCTGGAGACAGCGGAGGCGTATCATGCTCTGTATGTTCTCTGTCATATCTTTCTCTGTCATCTTTTTCCATGTCATCTCTTTCCACGTCATCTGTATCTGTTTCTTCCAGATCTTGTTCGAGATCATTCTCGGAGATACTTTGATCACTCACGGAAATCGTTGAAGTTGGGGTGTTCGGGCTGCTGGAGATCCTCGGATCCGTTTCCGTCGGTGTACTATTGGTAACATGGTCGCCTTTGTCACTCGCACAAGTAGAACTAACCTGGACCCCGGCGGAGGCATAACGGTCTCCGCCAAGGGTACCTGAGGAACTTATGAGCCGGTCACGAGACATACTCGTTTGCGGCAATATGTTCGTGACATCGTTCGCGACACCTGTCAGCGATGCGCGCTGCTCATTTGCAGAGTGTCCAATGTTTTCAACTGTAGAATCATTTTGCATGCTTGTTCCCCGACTAACGTACTGGCTATTACCGTGTAGAGGACCGCTAGAGCGTTCGGGAGGCACTCCGCGTTCCTCGGACCAGGTCTCTTGCTGATGTGGGTTGGAGAAATGATTGCGCTTGCCGAAAAAGGTAGACACAAAGTCAAACTTTGGTCTTACCGGTGTAACCGGAAATGTTTCCATGCGTGGTGTCGTGAACCCGTTCTTGTCGCCCGCAGCATCAATGACATACAGGCTTCCGTCCTTTATTAATGCCTCGACAGTGAGCGAGACTTGTTCCCAGAATGACTCTTCAGAACCTGGAAACTGTTTTAAAGAAGCTTTAATGAAGATAGGGTGCAGCATTCTGAAAATAGTGGAAGGTGGCGGATGAGCAACGATCTGTGGACAGTGGGCACGGATTTAAAGGATTAGCCGCATGCTAAATGCAGCTCCGTTTGAAACAAGGGGCAGATGACAGGGGTTCAGACTCGAACAAAGCCGGTGGATGCCAAGCAAAAATTGACCGGCAGAGAGAATTACGTCATTGCCCTGTCCCATCCATAAGCCGTGGCTTACAGGCATCTCGTTCAGAATCAAGAACATTGGAATCGTCTATATATGTCGCATGCTTTATTCTGTGGTTCACCAGATTTCCCGCTAATCGATGAGCTAACAGTAGATCTTTATTCGCGTCCTAGTCCTGGACATCGACGATTGAACGTTACTACTCGAAGAGGTTGAAACATTTCAACATTGTTTCAGGCTGTGTTCCGTCTGCGAACCCCCTCGAGCTCTTAGCACGTGATATCCGCTTGCACGGGTATATATTGTCTCTCTGCACAAACGCCGTCGTGCTGCGTTTATGGATCCTGCAATCTACTTCAGTATCGCATTCCTAACCTCTCTCTGCATCATCTGGCTATGTTTGCAATTATTTGGACTCGCTACCCATGTATGGGGCCCAATAGAGCGTTGGCTTCGAAGGCATATCATTCTGCCACAAGTTCTTGACGGCCAATATTTGTTCAATCCCACCCGCATAGAGGTCATTTGCTATGTACTTCACTGGACATGTATGGTTGTATTCAACACATACAAGGTCTCGAATGAACGTGAAGCTGCTTCTAGGGCGGCCTACGCGACAATCGCCCATCTCCTTCCTCTTGTCTGTTCGGGCCAATTGAGCTTCGTCTCTTACAGCTTCGGGATTTCGGGATCTGTAGGCCTTAGCTTCCATGAAGCCTTTGGTTGGATGGCCGCCGTGCAAGGAGCTGTGCACAGTATAATCGAACTACAGGACAAAGGTCATTGGACCGTGCAGACGAAGGCTGGCCTTGTGGTATGTTACATGAACACACTTAGAATCTAAGCCTAGCTCACGACCGAAAGGCACTCTGCAGTCTCTTAGCGTTATCGTGTCTGCCATTTGCAAGGAGCCTTGCGTACGAGATATTTCTTGTTACGCACCAATTGCTAGTTATCACCTTCGCACTAGCTCTATGGCTTCATGTCCAACCTCTGAATAACATAGTCCGGCGGCTATGTTTCATTGCATTGCTTCTGTTCATTGCGACTTCATGCTACAGATATGCGAGGCAAATTTACGGAAACTTTGTCCCTATTCGCAAACGAATGAGACTCATCGAAATTGAAGAAGTCCGAAAGCAAGATGACTCCTTAATCCTTGGACTACATTTGCCAAGGAGCTGGAGAATCCGCCCTGGCCAGCATTTGTACCTTACTGTTCTTGTCTTCAGGAGTGGATCGATACTGCAGAGACATCCTTTCACTGTCACATGGTGGAATGCGTCACAGGAACCTCGAATGTACTTAATGATCCGTGCGCAACGAGGATGGACAAAGAGTATATTGGATCGCCCCGATCTTCTTAAGTCTCGGAAGGTGTGGCTAGACGGCCCATACGGAATGCCAGTATGCCTCGAAAACTACGGAACGGTCATTCTCTTCGCGTCAGGAGATGGTATCTTTGCGCAGTTGCCGTGTCTGAAGGCGGTCACAGAGGCATGCAAAATATCAAGAGCAAGAACCAGGAGAATCAAGCTTATCTGGCTGACGAATGAGTTCAACGAACAGCTACGGGAATGGATTCAGACTATCCTCGATGACGAAGACCTACACCCAGATGTAAGTTCACAGTGCGATGAAGAAACTAAGAGAAAAGGGAAGGCAAGTGCGCTGACCACTACTACTAGCTTCTGGATTTATGCATCCACGAACCAAACACCCAAATGTCTTCCAAGGTCGAAAGTCGTGGGAGAAGAGTGAAAATAGTCCATGATGTACCGAATGTGAGGAGATACTTGCAATCAGAGCTTAACCATCCGGAGACTGAGATAGCGGTCACTGGTGAGTCTCGGCATAACCACTACTCGGCCATTGCTGACGAGATAGTCTCTGCATACCCAGTGCTGCGCCAAAGCGTGCGAAACGAAGTTCTTAAAATCAACAAATTCCAGATGCGGCTCTTTGAGTTGGACTACCAACCGAATGATAAAGATCAGTACGATAGTGGTATCTCCGCTTGAGACTAAGAAGAGCACAACGGGCGCGCCGCCTTTGCTGTCGTTTTATATGTGTCTGGCATACCGTCACTCCGTAGCACGCAAAACAGCACCTCCTTGGTTTCCAACGGAAGGTTGGACGAAGATTCTTGGATTCGCTTCATCACCCTGTAGTTAGACAACCTCTTCTCCGTGAGTTGACCCTGGCAAATGAACTCTTTTGAATGAATCTCAATCTTCCGGGTAAGTTCTGTTGCTGACTGCAAGAGAGACATTGAGATTTGTCTGCCACGACGTGGCTTTGCTTTAGATCATCAGGTATGCCACACTTATCCTCTCAGTCCTCGATCTTCTTGATCCAGCCTGTCCGCGACCTCAAGAATAATTTCGGTTGGCATGAAACACATGGACGGCGAGAAACTGCACATCGATGGAAAACACGTAGAATATGCATTGATTTTCCTATTCTTCTGATCCCGCGAGATGGAGGTCGTCCGACAAATCACATCCTGCGTGGTCCGCCATTCCCCCAGCTATTACTGTACTACCACTCTTCTTTACTCCATTTTAGTAAACTTCGCGAGAGGAAAGCTCGTAGCCTACAGAGACGAATTAACCGAGCCATCTACAGCAGGGAGGCGCTTCTTGTACTTACGATTTGTTCCGCTGTCGGCGGCCATGAATTGCTCTCATGGGACGCATATATGTAAAATTGGCCGTGGTGAAGGACCGCAACATAGACATGAGCCTTAGTGTCCCGTGCGAGAACGTCTGCTTTTCTCCACATGGTTTGTCGACGTTTTCTGAATTTGTCTCTCACCAAGCTACTTGCTGGACGCTTCGCCATCTCGTGAGCAAAGTAGTGGATTTGGGTCTACAAATGGGCGAGATCGAGTCCTTGAAGTACTCGCTGGTCTGGCAAAGGGTCCGTCCCCTTGCAGCAAATTTGACACCCTCCGTCGGGCCTGAAACGTCCCCTGGTTTCAACTTCATGGCGAAGCTCATATATTTAAGGTCTGCTTTCGACCTCCTACCCTACGTTCGACCTCCTACCTTACGTTCGACCTCCTACTCTACGTTCGACCTCCTACCTTACGTTCGACCTCCTAC